GCCCTGACTCACAGACACCATGATCATGATTGGGAATTCTGGGCCACCTAGGTGGACAAAGGAAACCCAACAGCGAGTAGTTTGGATCCACAGGTAACTTTGGGTCATTTCCAGGACTCACAGGACCTCCAATTTGGTAGTCTGGCTCAACAGACATCTGGGACTCATGGCTAGCTGTTTTGATAAGCATTATTCAGCAGTTACAGTTAATTGGAAATATAGTTGAATAGACTAAACTCTTTAAGTAAAACTTACCATTCACTTGACATCCTTAACTACCAATGAGAATGCTAGCAACCTACAAAGATAGGTCATGTTTCAGTATTTGTAGAACTTTAAATTTCATGAAGTTGTTTAAAACATACCTCAAAAGAGCTGCCATGATAATTTTATAAAGTTCACCTATTGACAGTGAGCTCAGAAACCTCTGAGCATTACTGCCAAAACATACTAGACAGAAGACAATGAATCAGATGATGCTTGAAACATTTTCTATTGCCTACCTGTCCCTCCTACCTTGTTAAGCTAAATGAACATATAGRTTAAAGGAAGGAAGGCACTGCTAATTATTTTTGCTGGAGAAGGTTGGTACAGGACAGTTCAAATAAGACATTAAAAGTTGATCTTTTGATTGAAGCAAATCTGTGATAAACATGCATTAATCCTGATTCACTGCAATATTATCACCTATGATGAGCACTTGAGTTTCAGGAGCTGATTCAACAGCAAGGTATCCTACATGTCTGCCAAAGATATTTTTATTTTAGATTTGTGTGTTTAAGTTTGTGCACTTGTAGAGTAACAGCATAAACTATTTTGATATGCTGACTCATGCAACACTGATGGTGTGTTTTTACTGCTTCAAATGAAAAATGAAGTTTGACCATAAACAAAAGTACTTTAGGTACAACAGAAAACTGCACACTTAAAAAAACTAGAATAAAAATGTTTTTTGAAGATGTCAAATAGATTTTTGAAAACTTCCCATGTCATAAAAGACAAATATTTAAACTATATTATTTGAACACTTGTGTAAGAATGTGTTTAAATGGTCATTTGCAGTCAGTGCCTTCATCAAGACACATTGTTACATTGTGTTTGCGTGTAAACTCACAACTAATGGGTAATGCTTAAGCTCAGAGTAAACATCAAAAAATAAAATTATAAATGTTGAGTCAAAAGTCAGAGTACACCCTATGACTACTTGAATATCTTTGCTACCAGCTGTGAAAACAGTGTGCTGAGCTAAATATGCTCTAACTTTTTTGGCACATAATTGCATGAGTATAGTGAACATTACTTTTATTTAATGAAATACAAACTGGCAGAAGTGCAAATAAACTCTACAGTTCACTATGCATTAGCTTTCCATCACAATTCACACCTCAAAACAGTCAAGATAGTTTAGTAGAGGAAACCTAAAACTATTGGTGTTTTATAGTGAAAGCCCCAAATACAGCCCATCACTTTGGAACTAAACCAGCTTTTTAGATGAAGTAAATGGGTTATACTTTCTCATGATTTAATTTTAAACCTTTCAATTATTTTGCTCAGAATTTTAGTTGGAGTTACAGATCTTACCAGAAGCTACCATTCAAAGGGCTAGCATAAATTTAAGTACAATGAGTCTTTGAATACAGTACATCTGAGTTGTACATTTTCAACTTTATTGGTTGAAATACATTCCACATGATCAAGAC